CGCCCTTCGTGTTGCTTCGGCAATTCAAATCTTTCTCCTGTTGTATATGCAGCACAGGCAAATCTCCTGCAAGCCGGCATAGGAGCTACGTCTCGAGTCTCTTCGACTTTCCGTAAGACACTGCATGATGACGCTATTCCCGAGGCTATAGCAGCGAGAGTTGCATTCATCGACATCAAAGCCACAGGCCCGTCAGAGAATTGTTCTTGAAGAGGGATGTAGGACAACGAATTTGTTCAAATATAATTTAACTGGCTTGGGCCTGGTGTGAAATCAGCACGATAGGGACAGAGACGATATACCCAGCTCTTCGTTGGAAAGGGTTAATTGTAGCGACGGCCGCGGAGAAGGAAGCAGACGAGTTGCTGAAATTGGATCCGGTCCTGAGGCCTGACGAGCTACGCGGAACTTCTGCTGAATTGAACTTTCTAAAGTTACTGCAGATTTTGCATCATTAAAGAAAGTTAAAGAACGTCAGCCTACGTGAACATACCAATTGACCTACATCGAGTCGCATCTGAGAGTTGTTGCATTTTCGTGATTTTGGAGAGTATTTACCAGCTTGAGAAGTCACAAATCAAGTCTTCTGCTATAAGACGATTTAGAGATTGTTTGGAGAATGGGTGCGGGGGAGATGGGCGCTTATTTTCGGACCCCGGAACGGGGTTGCATTTGAATTTCGCGATGTCATACTCCAACTCCACCTTTTTTACCACCATGAGCTATTACATTGGCGTAGACGTTGGTACCGGCTCTGCGCGCGCTGTTCTCGTTGATGACCACGGTAAAACCATCGCTTCTCACACAAAGGAAACCACAACCTGGCGCGATCACGATGATCACCGAATCTTCGAGCAATCTACCAACAACATCTGGGATTCGATTTCTACTTGTATAAAGAAATGCCTGGCAGAATCAAAGGTCTCTCCTTCTTCAGTAAAAGGTCTTTCCTTTGATGCTACTTGCTCTTTGGCGGTCTCCGATTTCAATGGTGACCCAGTTGTTGTCACCAAAGGTAAAGATCTGGGACAGAACGGCGAACGCAATATTATATTATGGGCAGATCATCGTGCGGAGAAGGAGGCAGAACTGATCAATAGTACTGGATCGGTAGTATTGGACTATGTTGGTGGAACGATGAGTGTAAGTGCGCGTTTAGAACCGTACATATTTCTCATATATTCATCCATACTCTAATCACAGCTCGAGATGGAGATCCCAAAGACTCTGTGGCTCAAAAATCACATGGAGCCTTCCCTCTTCTCCCGCTGCCAATTCTTCGATCTCCCGGATTTCTTAACCTACCGCGCTACGACGGACAGTACCCGTTCTTGCTGCTCCGTTACTTGCAAGTGCTCCTTCGTACCGAAAAGCGGCTGGCAAGCCGACTTTTTCGAAAAGATCGGGCTCGAGGAGCTGGTAAAGACCAACTACAAGCAACTGGGAGCAGCGAATGGGGAAGTGTTGACTGCCGGTAAGCCAGTAGGAAATGGGCTATCGAAGCAAGCTGCAGAAGAACTCGGTCTTGTCGAAGGCACACCCGTTGGTAGTGCTGTTATTGACGCGTATGTTCGTCTTGTCTTGCTTATCTGCCCTCAATCATTTGTATTTTTAGCTATGCCGGATGGCTGGGAACCGTCGCAGGGCGATACAAGGAAGATGGAAAGCTTTCTGAAGCAATCCCATCTATTGACGAGTCCAGACATCGTCTCGCTGCTTGCGCTGGTACAAGTACGTGCCATATCGTCCAGGTAAGCTAGGGTTGAATCTGATTAGGCTTGTACTGACATTCTATTGACAGAGCCGGGAAGGTGTCTTTGTCAACGGAGTTTGGGGACCGTACAAGGTTTGAACAGGATCAGGTTCGTAACTCGGTCTAACGCGTTATCCAGGACCCTGTCTTCCAAGGATGGTGGATGAACGAAGGAGGCCAATCGTCCACCGGACAGGTGAGAATTTCTCTTTTCTTGAATGCAAACATCAATTAATGCTGCCGATAGCTCATTGACTTTATGATTAAAACTCACCCGGCATACCCTCGACTCCAAAAGTTGGCTGAGGACCAGAAAACCAACATTTTTGCAGGTACGCGTTGCGCTAGAGCCGGGATTCTCGCGGTTCTAACGATATTTCATAGTTCTTCAAGAGCTTCTGCAAAAAATGAAGAAAGAGAACGGCGCCGAGAGCTTGACTGAACTCACCAAGGATATGCATTTCTACCCAGATCTACATGGTAAGTTTTCATGTTGAAGGATATCGTTTATCCAAGCTCACTACGCCGTGCAGGCAACAGGTCACCAATCGCTGATCCCCGGATGAGAGGGTCTTTCGTCGGTCTTGCTCTCGTAAGTTAAATTCTCTATTTTTTTTTTCGGCCGTTGACCTATACATAGGACGACGGGCTTAATGACCTTGCACGGAAATACAACGTAACGCTAGAAGCAATTGCTCTCCAGACTCGTCACATTGTCGATGAGATGAATAACAAAGGCCATAGTATTACCTCCATCTACATGAGCGGTAGTCAGGCGAAGAACATCCCGATGATGCAGCTTTTTGCCGATACCTGTGGAATGCCCGTTGTGTTACCCTTCGACGAGGGAGGTGCTGTGCCCCTTGGGGCGGCTATGCTTGGTAGGTACGCTGCTGAAGCAGCACAAAAAGGTGTCGCGGGTATGAGCGAAGACGAACAAGGAGAGCTTTTATGGAAGATCATGGTGAGTCATTGAATCTATTCTCGACTTTCTTCCCGTCGCTAATTCTTTCGTTTTCATTCGCAGGTGGAAATGACTCCTCCAGGAACCATTGTCAAACCTGCGACATCTGGCAGGGAGAAAAAGCTGATTGAGGCCAAATATAAAATATTCCGAGAGGCAGTGGATATCCAGTACAGATGGAGGAAGCAAATTGAGGAGGCGATGAACTAAAAAAAGTAATACCCCATTTGTATGATTAGGAATACGATTCCCTAGAATTAGAATATGCGTATGAGTACGAGTACTATGGAAAGCTTGTCCAGCCAATACTGAAGCCAAACCAAAGGCCAAAGCGCGGTTATCGGTGGCTAGTCGCCTAGTAGTCGGAACTTGGCGGGGCTAATACTCGGGGCTAATACTTATACAGCTATGATTAATTTCGGATCATCGGACGCTTCGGAGTTACAATTTAGCAAAATTTCTTGTGTCGCAGGGCATAGCCCCCATTCCCATCTTTCTTCACAACCACCATTACAACAGCAAGAATGCCCGCTCGATTGTAATTTCCTGCGTCTCCAACGCACTCAGTCTATTTCCAATGGACCAGCACTTCACTTGAAAGATCTCTTTCAAGCTTTTAACTCTTCTTAACTATGTCTCCCTAAATTGTCTCGTCAGATTCACTCTGACCTAGTTGCCCATCATGGCCTCCGTCCCAACGTCCTCGAAAAACACAAGATCGACTTTTCCTTCTGCCTGTATTGATTATCGAGTATTTATCGCTCCATCGCCAGTATTTAACAATGATTACTATCCAACAAAAGTCTTCCACCAGTCCAATGCCCGAAGACACTTTACCAACCTCGACAATGGCGGATGCCTCAGCTGCCCAGCCGGCAGCTCAGGCTATACCGTTAGACCAGCTTTCTAGCATGGTCAATACGCTACTAGGTAAATATTTTGTCACCTATCATTCGTTGTACAATCGTTGATTTGCCAAAGCCTCCCCCGAGTTCCAAAAGTCCGCCCGCTTCGATGACTTCCTTGTTTCCCCTTCACTATCTCCCTGCGACGACCTCAATATGTCGCCCATCGACGACTCGCCCTTCTCTCCTAACCTTGACACTCCGATCATGAACGACCTATCCGATGACTTTGGAATGTTTTCTGAATACAGTGGCGTTCCATTGTTTGACGACGGAGCGATGACCATGTATCAGCTCCTCGAATCACCGGAGGTCGCACAGGAAGCTTTCTCTCAGATGTACGAGCTGCCGAAATCTGCACCGGCGCCTGCACCTTCTCCCGATGCTGTCAATCCAACTTCTCTTGCCCTTCCTGCAGCGGCACCGCCTGCGTCTGCTCCTGCTCTCAAGGCAGGCAAGGCGGCTGCGGCTTCTCGCCGCAAGTCTGCTGCTACAGGCACCCGGAAGAATATCACTCCCGACTCCCTCGTTCCTGTTGATGCTCCTATCCAAGGGCGCAACTATGCTACTCCTTCCGCGACCTCTCGCAAGGAGCTCCCCGCAGCGTTTCTCAAGTCACAGAAGAGAAAGCGCTCGAGGACGCAGGCATTTGGTGACGAGGATAGTAAGGCGGGATCTCCTCCGGTTGACGCGGATGCTGAAGAACAGCCACCGCTCAACGCCACTGAGAAGGAAATCATCGAGTGGAAGCGTCGTCAGAACACTCTGGCAGCTCGAAAGAGTCGAAAGAGGAAGCTTGAGCACCAACAGTTCCTTGAGACTCGTGTCAAGGATCTGGAGACGGAGAACGAGATGTTGAAGGTGAAAACGGATGCTCTCGAAGCGGCCCTCAGGGCACACAATATCTTCCTGCCGGCGACGAACGCTTAGGAGACCCCTCTTGAGTTGTTCGTTTGTTTGGGTATGCTGAGGATCTCATATACCGTTGACGTTTTTGGGTAATTTACATCAAAAAAAAAAAAGTTTCGTTTTCTTTTTTTCGTCTTACTGTTTCTAAAGTAGGTCATATCTTTATTCCAAACAAGTTTTCTATCTTGCCTTTTTTGTTCCATTGATTTTCTCTCTTGTACTATCATCAGTTGTATCCAACTACTGTCTTACAATTCGTATAGTCCGTAGTATCCAACTACTCTGCCTCTTCGGAGTCTTTTGTCTTGTCTGTCTCTTTCCTTCTTACTAGTTACTCTTTGGAGTTCTATATGTCTTCCGTTTATCAATATAATTCTGTTGTTTTCAATTCACTGAGATGCAAGAACTGAAAGGGAAATTAAATCAGGAAGATATACATGATAAATCTAAAGGGGCTATATTGGCCGTCGGCGCTATAGCCAAGTGGTTACGGCGACAGATTTGAATCAGAATGGCAAGAGTTCATTATCTGTTCCTCTTTGAGGGCGCAGGTTCGAACCCTGCTGGCGTCGTAGAGGATCTGCGAAGACTGCGTTGTTTTCTTTTTGGCTCCAGTGCGTACACATTGGCGCGTCTTACCCTCAAAGAAATCTAGTCGAAGGCTTCTGCGCGGTTTTTGTAATTTAGCAAAGTTCTAACTTCGCGCAGCATCAGAAATTTCGTATGTATTAACGGAGATACTAATGGGCAATAGAATACCAAGGAAAGAGCTTTACAGCAAATTGACGTATGCAGCAGGGAATAACCCACTTTGACCATCCACTTCGCCTTTCCACCTGTAATTTCGTGTTAATATACAGTATATAAGACAGGAATCAAGCGTACCAATCGTCCGATGTTCGTTCAGTAACAAGTACTCTCTGGTTGGCGCGAATTTGCAGATCCGCAGGATCCTGAGCGACCACAGAGTAGAATGGTCAGACCCTTGGTATAAGAAGAATTAAGGGATAACTCACTTGTGAATCATAATCATACAATGCCTCTGCCCATTCTCCTTGCTCCTTTGACTCTGGCTCTGGTTCCGGTTCTCGATTGGTAAAGCTGCTCTTCTTGGCCGCAAAAGCGGAAGGAATGGTGGGCATTGAATTCGTAGTTGGTTGTTTTCTGGATAGGCCCGAGACAAGCATATTCTTCTTTGAGGATGTATCCACGTCGCCTATTCGCTATCAAAAGAAATCAGAGATTGCTTTTGAGCAATAGCAATCTACACGGGAAATCATGATCACTTGTTTTGAGAGCAAACCGGCCGGTGGATCTATAGTTTTTGCGGGTGCTCTTCGAGCAGGCGGAGGTGCATTGCTGCTGCCGAATGCTGAGGCTGCAGCGGCTACACGTCCAGCAACTTGCCGGACATCGTCGCCTCCAGCGCCTTGTAATTTGGCGGCAAGTTCAGGGCGAGACTGAAAGTATCTACCATAGCAGGATCAATCTTGCTATTCGATGAGCCAGCAAGAGAACGTACTCATCTAGGAGAGAGAAGAAGGAATTCTTTTCCTGGTCGTTTAGATTAGAAAAGACCATCGCTGTTCAGGACAAAGCTGATCGGCGCCATAAATGGCATTCGTTTATCTGGGCGCTTATACCGCACCGCGTCTTGTTTTTGAACTTTGAACTTTGAACCAACTCTTCACATCCGGTTCATTGCACGCTCTGCCTCAATTTCTCACTAAATTTCGAGCACTTTGGTTCTGAGGTCGAATTGCTAACGCATAGGTTCGTTGATGAATGGATGTATCTCAGTTGCAACTCTGACATCCTAGATGCATAGAATCCGAATGGATCGTTTCAGCGCGTTGCCCGACGAGATTCTTGATCTCATCTCCGGAGAGGTTCAAGACTACAGAAGCTTGTTTTATCTGTCTCTCGTATCGAAAAACTGCTACCATGTGTTCAGTCCTCGCCTATACGAATCCGTGAAATCTGGAGACAGACAACTCGGCACTGTTGCTTCGTTGGAAAATGAAAGGGTACCATTGACTGGTCCTCATCCTGCGTCGTTTGTCAAAAACTTGGAACTGGAGTTTTGTCCGTTTTATCCGCTCAATCCAAATCCGGATCTGGAGACGAAGAAATGGCAAGAAGAGGAGACCGTTCGAACAAATTTATTCAAAAAACGGGCAGAATCCGCTTTGAATAACATCACTAAACATGCCGTTCTACGTCGTCTACAACTTCTTGGAATTCATCTTGCACGAAGTGCTCGGAAAGGTGAACTCGACCAAGTTTGGACACCTCAGGCAGCTTGTTATCAAAAACCCAATTTTGGAACATCAAAGTTTGGATATATTCGTCAGTCCTGATTTCCGTTAGTGACGCATCGCTAATTGTTTTTCATCCTTCTGTCACCGTCTGTGTATACAGGAATCATTATGTAGCAGTTCTCCAACATTGAATTATTTGACATTGAACTGGCGTGTATTCGAGGATACTTGTGAGTGCAAAAAATCTATCCAAAAGTACGGTAAACTCAAAGAATTTTAATTACATAGCTGATGCCACGGCAAGACTTTTGGAAGTGATTCCAAAAGCTTGTCCCAATCTTCAAACAATACACATACATTTGACCGACGAAGATGAATCTTGCAAACGCCTTCAACGAGTTTTGGATGACCCGAATTTCACATTTCCTCTCCTCGATGATTGTCGTTGCCATGATTTCATGCAGTGCAACGCCTCCAAAGTTCCTCGAGCGCCATCCTAAGATTGAAAAGTTACAGGTTTCAATGATTAGCATGGGCGGTTTGGGCTTACTTCCGAACCTTAGGCATTTCCATGGCTATGCATTGGATTACCTCAAATTGTGCACCAACCGTCCACCTCCTGTTCAATGTCTGGAGATAAACCTGCATCGGCTTTCGGAAGAGGAGGAGCTTTGTTTGGTCAATGGATTGGCAAATACAAAGACACTTACCCAGTTAGCCCTAACGGACTACCTAAAGTCTACAGTGTCTTTGGTGTTCCTTGCTTCCATCACCAAGGCATGCCCCGAGCTGACGCACTTCAAGTGTGCACTTGGCAACGAGAAATCCATGGTGAGTCAATGTTCCAACTTTCCACCTACCCATCTGGTATTCTTACTTACTCCTATACAGGATTTGATCTATTCAACCATTTTTCGCAGTCTTCCTAACCTCGAGCACTTGAGATTGCAATTCGAATACGCATCAGATCCCGACGTCGAGATTCTCTATAGTTCCCACTTACAAGGCCTTGCTAGCCGTCATCCCTTGAAAACGTTACAGATTGATATTCTCATAGACAGCGTTGAGCAGACCAAGTGGGAATTTTTCTACTTTATGAAGGATAATAACAGAATCATACCTGCTCCCAAATTGGACGCTAATCGATTTGACTGGTTTTAATTTTGTGTAGTTTCTCACAAGGACTCTCACTTACCACCAAGGTTCCAATTGCTTACTCTCTATATAATTTAAATGGCTGCTTTTCGATTATTTTCTGGACCGAGCTGTTGAAAGAGATCAGTCCCGACTATAAGTGAACCCAAGCGAAGTTTGAAAGGAGGAGTTCAGTCGAGAATTTACATATGAGCTCATTTCAGGTTCAGATTCGCAGAATGCTGTTCTGAACAATGAAAACTCTTGCGCGTTGGTTGGGCACTTGTTGAAGGTCTTGGGCGCTTATACCGCGTCGCGTCTTGACTTTAAACCAACTCTCGGTTTATTACACGCCACGTGTCAGGATTTTTGGCTCAGAGGTCGAATTGCTAACAACATAGGTTCGTCGATGAATGGATTTGTCTCAGTGGCAACACTGATTTCCTTTCCTAGTTGCATAGAATCCGAATGGACCGTTTCAGCGCGTTGCCCGACGAGATCCTTGATCTCATCTCCGGAGAGGTCCAAGAACCCAGAAGCTTGTTTTATATGTCTCTCGTATCGAAAAACTGCTACCATGTGTTCAGTCGTCGCCTGTACGAATCCGTGAAGTCTGGTGACAAACAAATCGACACTCTTGCTTTGTTGGAAAATGAAAGGATACCATTGACCAGTCCTCATCCTGCGTCCTTTGTCAAAACCTTGGAGCTGGAGTTTTTTCCGCTCGATCCAGAGTGGGATGTAGAGGAGAAGGAATGGCAAGAACAGGAGACCATTCGAGAAAACTTATTCAAAAGACAGGCGGATTCCGCTCTGAATAATGTCGCTAAATATGCCATCCTACGTCGATTATCCCTTCGTTTCCCCAAAATTCATCTTCATAAAGGGCTCGGAAAGCTAAACTCGATCAAGCTTGGACACCTCAGGCATCTTGCTGTCAGATGCCTAATTCTGGAACATCAAAGTTTGGATATATTCGTCAGTCCTGGACTCAGTCGATGTACTGCTAATTATTTCTCATCGTTCTCTGTGTATACAGGAATCATTATGTCGCAGTTCGCGAACATTAAATCATTTGGAATTGCACTGGGACGAATGGAATGATAGTCGTGAGTACGAAAATATTCAAAAATGCGATAAACTCAGAGAATTTCAATTGCATACATAGCCGAGGCCGTAGCAAGACTTTTGGAAGTGATTCCCAAAGCTTGCTCCAATCTCCAAGGGATCCGGATGTCTACTAGCTTCTACCCAGAATCTTACGAACCTGTTCAACGAGTCTTGGATGACCCGAATTTCACCTTTCCTCTCCTCGATAATTGTCATTGCAATGATTTCATGCAGTGCAACGCCTTAAAATTCCTCGAGCGTCATCCTAAGATTGAAAAGCTACAGGTTTCAAACGTTAACATCGGCGATCCAGGTTTCAAAGCTCCCTTAGGCTTGCTTCCAAACCTTAGACATTTCCGTGGCTATATATCGATAATCGGACTACTTCAAATTATGCACTAAACATCCACCTCCTGTTGAATGCCTGGAGATAAATGTGTATCGGTATAATCCAGAAGATGAGGAGCTAGATCTGGTCAATGGATTGGCAAATGCAAAGACACTTCGTCAGTTAGACCTAACCGACTACTCAATGAATACCATGTCTTTGGTGCTCCTTGCTTCCGTCACCAAGGCATGTCCCAAGCTGACGCACTTCAAGTGTGCACTTGGCAACGAGAAATCCATGGCGAGTCGATGTCCAACTTTCCCCGTACCCATCTGGTATACTTACTGCTATACAGGATTTGATCTATTCAACCATTTTCCGCAATCTTCCTAACCTCGAGCACCTGAGATTGCAATTTCGACACGCATCAGATCCTGAAGCCGACATGTTCCAGAATTCCTACTTCCAGGTTCTAGCTAGCCGACATCCCTTGAAAACGATGCAGATTGATATCCTCGTTATATGTGCTCAGCGGGCCCAGTGGAAATGTTTTTACTTTATGAAGGATAATAACAGAATTATACCTGCTCCCAAATTGGACGCTAATCGATTCGACTGGTTTTAATTTTGTGTAGTTTCTTGCAAGCACTCTCTCACTTATTTTCCATTACCAACTTTAATTTCGAAATCGGCGGTTTGACCTCTGGAACCTGCGGATAAGTTTGCTTCGCTCGATTGG